GGAAGTTTCTCAATGGAGGAGGAGGAGGAGGAGGTTTTCGTGTGTGAGTCACGTGATGGTTTAATTTCATTTATGTTTGCTTTTGACAATGGGATTGCAACATCTCACAGCGGAGGTAATCAATTAGATAACGCCATTGACTCAGTTTCACATCATTTGATTATTCCGCGTGTATACGATATCTATCAAAGGCAGAACTTCCGAAATATTTATCCCAAAATAAGTGCTGAATACCTAAAGACATTTCAAATGCCGTGTTTCATTACCGCAATTGTTTTACACAAGGTGAGGCAAGTAAAGACGGTAATTTCTTTGTGGGAAATAGAAATATTTCAACACTTTACTCCAACATTGAAATTACCGAATTAGGTTAGTGGTACGTTTTGTAAATTTTCCCAATTTCGGCAAATCTCTCTTTCTCGGCATTTGAAACACTACACAAAAGTGGCTTTATATGCTTTATGAACTTTACGCCATATGGTACAACGAAAAACGAAAGTGCTTCGTCACCAGATAGGATAAGACTCGAGAGAGAGAGAGAGAGATAGTCCTGGGAAGGGAGCTGGAAGGGAGAAAGAAATGGTTATGCACGATGATCTCGTACAGCGTCAGTCTTTCTGTTGTCGTTCCTTGGGGGGAAAGGTGGAATTACTGGTGCTTAACTTTTAAGCCACGTCCCCGCAATGTCTACCTTTTACAGCGGCAAAACTCTAAAGAGTGGAGTCGATAATCTTTGATTAATGTATATGAGAGTCATTCTGAACCATAATGCTGTACGGAGTAAAAGCACAGTTTTAAAGTTTCACGTCTACCCCACAACACACAGCATCTCAAACCTTAATCATGACAACAAAATTGTAACAACAGAACGACTCAATCTGGTGCCCCGTCTCTTCTGCAGTGTATGCATGACTAAATTGCCTTCTGGACTCTGCTTCAAAAGCTCACAATACACTTCCGTCAAACGTTTACTGTGTATCTGAGATCGGCGTCTCCTCAAATACCGAACTCAATACCCCCCCCAAAAAAAAAAAAAAAAAAAAGAGAATTGCTTGTTTTGTTCCTCTAAGCCTCGTGTGACCGTGTAACTGAACGAAGGATCTTCTATACTCTAAATCTTATGAACTTTTGATAAGTTGTGTACTTGCAGCTTAATCAGTAGCTACCAGCGAATCCTTCCTCAACTAGCGACTGGCATTCTGCTGAATCTTTCAAAGTCTGCTCATCATCATAGATAGTCACCCATCACCCAACCAACAAGCAGCATTGGAAAATAAAAGAAACAAACCTTAAATGAAAACAGGAAAATAATGAAATGAGCTTAAAAAAATTCACCCTCCACCCCCAGCTTTCGGGTGGAGCTAATACAAAATGGTTTTTATTACTGAACATGGAAACTTCTGCTCTGACTGATGTAATCTAGTGTTTAGTGTGAGACCGAAAAATCGAGGCTTTTGGAGGCGTAGAATAAAAGCAAGCACTTACTTGATTGAAGCTTTGCAAAACATTTAGAAACTACAATGACGGCATTGTTTCCATTAGCTTGCTCCTTCTATCTCGATCGAATATAGCAATGAACATAATTAAATTTATCAAGTAAAATTTGGCGAGGCTTAAATCGCTTTAGTTCTCTATAGATTAGAATTGAAGGTTGTACATAAGCTAAAGTTTACCCTCTTCCTACTCTTCTTTGTTGGAAAAGTAGAGTAATATTAACATAGTTTCCACAAAGAAATGCGTGATCTCCTTGAGTATTAGTTGCTCAGCTAGTTATCTGTGTTTTAAGGTATATTTATTGTCCTCTTTTCTTATCTCTCTCTCTATCTATCTATCGATCTATCTACGTGAAGGATTCTCTTGAATAAATTTCTTTTTTGTCCATTGTTATTATTTTTGTTGTTGTTGTTGTTTCATCAACAATAAAAATTTTTAAAAAAAAAAGAATTCTCAGCGGTTAATATTCATTCGCCTTAGAAATAATATAATTTCTTACTAAAAATGTAAAAAAAAAAACAGAAACAGAAACAGAAACAGAAAAGATTTCAACTTTACTGATAAGAAACTCAAACTCGTATAAAAGTCACAACATTCCACCTTCCCTTTTTTAATTTACTTGCTTCTGGTTTCCTTCCTTCCTTCCTTTTTTCTTTTTTTTTTTTTTTTCCTTTCTTGGATGTTATTGAAGAACTACCACAAATCTTTATACCTCCTATCTTCATCTTCATCAGTGGCATCACTCATACTTTTCAAACAACAACTTAAAACGGGAGGCACCACTACTACTGCTTCGACAACCACAAAGACAAAACACAGCTTTTCAACAACCACGAGCAGTCTTTCACCAAGGACATCAAGAAATAACGCTCCTAATATTGCTGGGCTACCCATGATTTCATCAATTTACAGTTATTTCTTCAACAGCAACAACTCATCGCAATCCTCATTAGATGCCCAAAATTCACAACAGCTGAGATCTTATGCCACAAACAACCCAAACGTATCTCTAGACTATATCAGCACATTTAATCCTAGACTAGCAACGATTTTCCACCAACTAGATGCTATTGCTCCACGATTCTTGTTGAACAAGGGTGATATTGAAATATTAACAGAGCCAGCTCAATTTTACCTGACCTTGAAGGCCAAGATATCTCAAGCTAAAAGCCGAGTTTACTTGTCCTCATTATACATTGGTAAATCTCAATACGAATTGGTTCAATGTATAGATGATGCATTGGCTAAAAATCAAGATTTAAAAGTTTATTTGCTCACCGATGTTTTACGTGCTACGCGTGAAGCACCCCATCATCCAAGTTCTGCATCTTTATTAGCTCCATTGGAACAGAAATATGGCAAACATCGAATCGATATTAGAATGTACCATACACCAACTTTGACTGGTTTCACCAAAAAAATTGCACCCAAAAGATTGGATGAAGGATGGGGTGTACAGCACATGAAATTATATGGGTTTGACGATGAGATAATCTTATCAGGAGCCAATTTATCCCAAGATTATTTCACCAATAGACAGGATCGGTACTACTTACTCAAAAGTAAGGCAATTACCGACTACTATTTCCGTCTTCATCAAGCCATTGCATCAATATCGTATCAAATTCGTCATACTACTCAATTGAAACAAGGTTTCAAGTTGATCTGGCCCACCACCAATGCATCCTGTGAACCACACCTCAATACCCATCGATTCTTGAGCGATGCTTCACACTTGTTGATGCCAATATTGAAACAACATGAATTGACTTCTTTTGATGAGTTTAAAGATCATGAAAATTTCGATACAATTGTATACCCCGTTTCACAATTTACTCCGTTGTTTTTACCAAATCAGGATTTATCAACTGAAAAACCAGCAATTTTGCGTTTATTATCCTACATTGATTCTCCCAAAATCAAATGGTGGTTTACTGCTGGATATTTCAACATGTTGCCACAAATTCAAGATAGATTGATCAATAGCAGTGCCCAGGGCTCAGTCATTACCGCCTCACCAAAAGCAAATTCATTTTACAAGTCATCGGGTTTATCATATTACTTGCCGGAAGCATACCTTTTGTTTGCCAAGAGGTTTCTCGAACAAGTGAAGAAGTTGGGCAAGGAAACATTGATTACAGTGTATGAATGGCAAAACGGAGTTGTCAATACCCCAGGTGGATGGACTTACCATGCAAAGGGATTATGGCTCACTGTCCCTGAGGAAGATGAGCCTAGTATTACCGTGATTGGATCTTCAAACTACACCAAGAGGGCATATAGTTGTGATTTGGAAAGTAATGCTATAATCATAACTAAGGACGCTGACTTGAAAAGGCAAATGAAGCTGGAGATTGATCATTTGATGGAACATGTGACGGAGTTAACAGTTGACGATTTCCAACCAAAGCCACTACTGATGGATCATGCACCAAGCGGGGTTGTGATACAAGATTTTAACGCAGAGAAACTTCTGGATATTTCTAGAGATGAAGTTTCCGAGAAGCTGCAGCTGCAACACCAGGAACTTCATCCTAAATATGCAGTTGACGAAGATAGAAGAATCAGCTATAGAGTTCATTTGGCGGTGAAGTTGCTTGGTGGCAAATTGTGAGTTAGAGAGGAGGAATTGGCGGAAATTGGGGTTTCCTTCTTTTGTTCTAGAATGTATTCAAATAAATAACACACACATGTAATATTCTACCCTCAAACCATCTTCTTCCTTTTTCTCATCCTTCATACTTTTTTGTAATGGACTCGAGCCAGCTCTTGCCTGTATAGATAATACTGTAAACCAATTATGGCTATTGACAAGTCTTTGATTAATATCCAAGGCAAGCTAGGCAACATTAATGAGATCAAATCGGTCCACGCACGCCGATTAACAACTAGGTCCAAAAGTTCTATCACCACAAATGCAGCTTGTAAATGCAACCAGAACGGATGTAGCCCATTAACCTCATCATCCATCCAATTGACACTAATTTGCGGCCAATATTGTACTCCGAGAAGCACCTTGTGCATGCTCCATACATAATCCACTAAATCCAATTCATTAATTTTCGCTTGGTTAAACCACCATTGTTTAATCAAATATAGGAGTGGGAGAAGTAATATAATCACGGCTCCTTGACAGTATCGACTTATGCTTTGATGAGGTCTTCTTGTTGGTTTATATATATGCAATTGTGCAATGACGCACAATGAAGCAGTGCACGAGAGCATCTCAACCACAAGTATAATCTGTGATATGTTGGGGTACGACTCACCTGGCCATCGCACTCTGTATTGTGTCTCTATTGTTGAAGAGTAAAAGCTGATTATGCCAAGCACTGATGTAATATGTTCAAGATACTGTAGTAGCGTGTAGTCGAATGAGAGACCAAGAATTGATTTGTGTGATTTATTGTGCCTGTATTGCAAGTATATTGACACAAGCTGTGCGAGTGAAGCCAATACGGGATATAGGTGTATTAGATGCATTGCCTCTTCTCTTTATGGTCGTACTGTAATTAGCGTGTATCTTGTCATTGACCACTCAATTCCGCGCTTAACGTGAGATTTAACAAATCAAAATTTTGAAGAGACCAAAAGACCGAGGGTTTGATTCATCAACACAAGTTCACAAGGGTGGAAAGCTTCAACGTTATTTCAAATACACACAGTCACCATTATGAGCTCAGAAGTTGAAGGGAACTGGGATATCATAATTACATCCTTACAAGACATATGTGCATCCAACGAAAGCTTACCATTTGATTCAATCCACAACAATGGCAATGATGATGACAATGAAAATGAGAATGACAAAACACAAGGGTACTACAAGAATTTGTCCCCAGATGAGTTGTCCAAGTTGAAACAAGATATAATTGATCATAAGTCAAACATAGGCACCGCAAAACGGCTCATTGATACATCAATGGAAAATTTATCTCGATTGATTGAATATTTACAGAAGGAAGACTTGAAAAGGAAACAACAGCGGGAAAAAGAAAAAGTGCGTGGAGCTAGGACTGCAGCAGCAGCTGCTGCTACTAAGAAAGAGCAAAATAAAGCTGACGGAGATGATAATGGAGATGACTACGAAGATCAACAGGAAGATGTCGACGAAGGTGAGGATGAAGGCGAAGACTATGGCGCGGAAGAAGATGAAACACCCATTGCATCAACCAAGAGACGCAGAGCTTCATCATCTTCCTCTAAAGCTGGGACACCGATGTCCCAGTCCACATCAACTCATAGTCGTCGTGGAGCTAGTGAATCAACAAAACCAACAACCGCAACTGGGAAAGCTACATCAAAGAAATCAACTAAAGCCAGCGGGGCTGGTAAGGGCGGTAAGGGCGGCAAGAGCGGCAATAGTGGAACCACCAGTACCTCTGGTGCTATAGGCAAGGGCAAGAAGTTGAAAAAAGTCGGTCGCTCTTACTGGACCTCCAAGTATAACCCATCTGAACCTATTTATCTAGGCAGTGAAGTTGCTTTCAAACTTCGTAACCGAATCAATGAGTGGATCCAATGTGAAGTCGTCAAGATTATTGGTGACGGCGTCAAATTTGAAATTAGAGATCCAGAACCCGACGAAAATAACAATCCGGGACACACATTCCGGGCCAATTATAAGGAAATCTTGTTGATACCTACAGAGGAAGAAGCTGCCGATTTGATCAACTATGCATATGGAACCAAAGTATTGGCACGGTATCCTGATACCACAACTTATTACTCGGCGATTGTAGTAGGGCATAAAAAGGATGGGACGATTGTACGATTGAAGTTTGATGGCGAAGAAGAGGTGAATAAGGAGTGTGAAGTTGAAAGAAGATTTGTGTTGCCACTACCGCTGAAGTGAAAAGGGACTATAGCTTGGTGTGTGTATATTGAAATTATGTATTTTTTTTTTTAAGGAAAATAGAAGGAGTAGAAGTGACAACGTGTATATTTCCACTTTTATTTGGGTGCAAAATGGGGGGTTGGGAGGGCCATAATTTGCCCAAAATTTACCAGCACGCATTAATTGAAAGTCGTGTGTGGACCATCAAAAAATAAAATAGAAATTCTTTGTTGTGTGTAGTGAGTGACTGAAATTTTTCAACGACAATTTCATACAGGCTATTACACATTTCACACTCACACGCATAATAGTAACACAGCTAAATAAAATACAATTCTTTCAAGATGGATGGAATGGATATTGATGATTATTCAAGGGTATGTTAGGCTCTCCATGGAGTTGAGGTGTTTTTTTTTTTTTTGTGGTGTTTATTCCTTGCACCCGGGTGACAAAAAGAAGAATATGATTTACAATTGCATTACGTTGCCAGTGACTTTGATGCCCCGATTTTCTTTGTGTTGATCATCGCCGTTTTATGATCGAGTTAGTATGACAGTGGCTCAAAGTTGGCTCTGTCAGTAATGCTGACATCCCTTGATACTTGTTTGTTGGCGTGTGGCCTAGTAATGAGGCATGGGGTGGTACAAAAACACCTTTGATGCCTGATACGTGACTAATATTAGCCGCCGGTCTTGGGAAATGTTCTTGAAGCTGTAGCTCATTACCTAATAACGTCCCGTTCAAATTTCTAAATGAATGTCAGCTTCGATGCATTGCTGATCTATCTTCATTTTGTCACCCGTAAGCTGCTTGTTTTGCTTGTTTTGCTTGTTTGCTTGTTTGCTTGTTTTGCTTGTTTGCTTGTTTTGCTTGTTTGATTGTTTGCTTGGTACGCTAATTTTGCTTGGGTTATCTTTCCTTCGCTATGATTTCTTTTTTTTTTTTTCAGCTGTACTACTTGTTCTGCTTACTTGCCGCTTGCTGCTTGCTACGCTAACATGCTGCTTTTTTAGGTGAAAGTTTATTCTTCACACAATTTCTAACAAGAACAATATGGTGCTAACTTTTACTCATTATAGGATCGGTCTCCAGTGAGGGACAGAGAAAGATCGCCAGTTAGAGATAGGTCTGACCGAGATGATTTTGCATCTTCAAACGATTCACAAGGAAGAAGAGATTATGGTGGCTCGGGCTATTCAAGATCTTCATATGGTGACAGAAGGGGTGGAAGGAGCTCTTATGGGGATTCTAGAGGGTCATCATATGGTTCCAGAGCTACGTCTTCATACAGTAGTGGATACAGGGGAGGTAATAGCAGTAGAGATTACTCCTCGAGGGGTTACACATCAAGAGGTGGAGATGATGCAAGCTATCGCTCCAAAACTGAAAGAAATTATGATAACTCCATATTTGTCGGTAATATCCCATTCGAATCCACATCAAGAGATATCGAGGACATCTTCAAGGGCGATTTCGAGATTATTCGTGCTGACATTGTTACCAATAGAGGCAGGTCAAGAGGCATGGCTACGGTTGAATTCAAAACCAAGAACGATGTCGACAGAGCTATACAAAAGTACGATAAATTTCCGTATCATGGAAGAGAAATCTTTGTTAGAGAAGATCAGCCACCACCGGAAAAGAGAGACTTTGGATCAGGAAGATCTTTTGATAGGGGTGGTCGTGGAAGTAGATACGATGATTCCTATTACGGAAGTGGTGGTGCCAGAGGTGGGTATGGCGGCGATAGGGGAGATCGTTTCCAGAGGAGTGACTATAGACCTCCGTTGCCACCATCAACACCCGGAACTGAAGTTTTCATTGGAAACTTGCCCTTTTCAATCAATTGGCAAGCCCTTAAAGACATTATGAGAAAAGCTGGATCAGTGGTGAGGGCCGATGTCAGATTGGATGCTCAAGGTAGATCAAGAGGTTTTGGCACTGTTGTTTTTGACACTGCTGAAGAAGCAGATGCTGCCGTTCAAATGTTTCAAGGGTACGAAATCGAAGGTAGGAAGTTGGACGCTAGACCTGGTCGTACTGCCTATGGTTCGACTGGCGATAAAGCTACTGCATTTGGAAGCGGTGGGGGTGGTGGTTTTGCTTCAGCTTCGACAGGTAAAAAGAATTCCGAATTCACTGAAGGTGTCACTGGAAATGGTGAAGAGCCAAACGACACAATTTATGTTGAGAATTTACCATTCAGTACTGAAAATGATGACTTGTTTGAATTGTTTGAGTCCATTGGTAGAGTGGCCAAGGCTGAAGTGCAATACCTTGAAGATGGTAGAGCTAGTGGTAATGGTGTTGTCCAGTTTGAATTGCCTGAGTCTGCTGCGACTACATTGAACGAATTGAATGGTTATGAATACGGTGGAAGAAGATTGAGAATTTCCTACAAGAAATTGTGAGCATGGAGTGAGGCAACTTCTGTAGTCTTGTATCTAGATGGTGCCTTGTGTTTCATAATAATCACGAACATTCGTTTTTAGATACTGCTTTGGTATTTGTGTAAAAATTAAAGTGTTTATCTACGTTCGTAACAGCAAGAATCGAAAGTGTAGAGATGGCCCTAAACTTTCATTTAAATATAGTTTCTATAGTTTCACGACTTCGATACTAGTTTCAATAAAGATGTATATCTCATGAAGGCTCAAGTTTAATCAATAAGCGATCTTTTTGCAGCATTGTCAGAGAATCCAGACCAAATTGGGAGGACAAGTAGTACTATAAGTCAAAAATTTCAATACATTTTACATTGACTACACAACGAAAATCCACGTTTACTCACAACTTCAAATCCTTCAAAATTTGGCCCTCTTTGTACATGGCATCAATTT